GATGTTTGAAAATTTTATTAATTTATTTTAAATTAAATACTAAAATAAATACACAATCAGTAAAGAAAAAGAAACATATTATAAACTTAAGTGCTAAAACTTAAATACAAAATAAAAAAGCATTGCCATGTGCAGAGCAGAACATGAGAGGATTCAAAATATACAGAAATAAATTTCCATTTCAAAAAGCCTATATAACAAATATGATACATTATGTTCCAAGCTGTCCATCTTTTCTTTGCTTGCTTGTAAGTTTTCTTTTATTTTCCATTGTGCACTTTTTACTTTATTCTTTTTTCTCCCTTCCTCTCCCATTTCCCCTCAAGAAGGCAACAATTAACCATGGAGAATATATATACATATACATATACACATGCTTGTCTATATGTGTGTGTATATGTATGTCTGCATGTATATGTATATGTGCATATATGTATATGTGTATATGCATGGGTATTATATATGCATACAATTATACACATATGCACACAAATATATATGTGCATATATATACATACATACATACACTCACATGCACATCCATATACTTAAATATTTACAATCATACTCATATATGGACATATACATTCATATGCATCTGTGTAAGACTGTACTGTACTTGTTTGTTCTCTGTTTCTCTGTGGGTTGATAACATCTTCTTTGTAGATCCAAGTCTTTCCATGTGTTTCTAAGTCCACTAACTCATCATTTCCTATACCACAGAAATATTCCAACCTTATACTGTCTAGTTATTTTAAAAAGTCTAAAGCAATATTGATTAATATTGCTGACACAGAGTGTAGTTTCCCTGTTTTTCTCTTTTGATTAAATCTATTTTAGCTTCAACTTTATCTGAGATCATGATTACTACTCCTGCTTTTTTCCCTAATAAATTCTACTCCTGGTCCTTATTTTTTGTTAGTATGTATCTCATGTTTCTTATCCCACCTGACTCTCTAATTTACTTCTATTTAATACCTTGCCCTCCTATTACTTAACCTAGCTCCTACCAAAGATCCTTCCCTTATCCTCTCCCCTCTCCTTGAAATCCCTCCCTTTCCCCTTAGCCTTTTATTTCTTTCTGAATTTAGAAGACTTTTATGCCTCTCTATCTATCTATCTATCTATCTATCTATCTATCTATCTATCTATCTATCTATCTATCTGTCTGTCTGTCTGTCTGTCTGTCTGTCTGTCTGTCTATCTATCTATCTATCTATCTATCTATCTATCTATCTATCTATGTATTGTCCCCTTTTGAACCTATTCCTGATAAGAGTAGGCTTCCCCTGTCTAATTCCTCTATGTCAGTTCTTCCTCTTGCACCTCATTTGAAAAAGATAATTACTTTTTTTGCCTTTTAGTAGATGGTTTACTTTTTAGTATTGCATCATATTCAGTGCTACCTCAATCTTTCTGTTCAACTACTTAATTACTAATAACAATTTTAGACATATGATTTACATTTCCTCATATAAAAAGTAAAGCGTCTGTGTTTATTGAGTCCCTTGCAACTAATTTTTGATGTTTATTTTATATTTCTCTTGGATCTTGTATGTCAAAATTTCTTCCTTTTTGCAACAAAATCCTGAATGTCTGGCAATTCATTGAATATCCTTCTTTTTTTCATTCAGGATTATGTTTAGCTTTGCCAGATATGATATTTTCAGCCACAGCCTCAGTTCTTTTACTCTTTGATATATAGTGTTCCAAGACATGCAGCAGTTTAATGTCATTGCTGCTAAGTCTTATGTAATTTGAATTATTTTTTTTTCTTGTTGCTCATAATATTTTCTCCTTGAGCTGGGGGTTTCAGAATTTGACTAAGATATTCCTGTAGGTTTTCCTCACAGGATATCTTTCAAGTGGTGATTGGTAGATTTTTTTATATCTCTACTTTCCCCTCTTGTTCTAACACTTCAGGACCATTTTCTTTAATTATTTCTTGTAATACATATCAAGATTCTTTTTGGATCCTAGCTTTCAGTACTCTGATTATTCTTATGTTTTCTTTTCTTGATCTATTCTCCAGATCAGTTGTTTTTCTTATGAGCTGTTTCACCTTCTCTTCCATTTTTTTAATTCTTTACATTTTGTTTTGTTATTTCTTGGTGTCTTATAACTTCACTGGCTTCCCATTGCCCAATTTTACTTTTCAAGGAGTTTTCTTCCTTAAGATCCTGGATCTCCTTTTCTAGTTGGTTGACCTTTTTTTTCATAATCTTTTTTTTTCTTGGATTGTTCTTATTTTTTAAAATTTTTCCCCAGTCCCTCTCATTTAATTTTTAAAGTTTTTTAAGTTCTTCTATGAATTCTCTTTGGATTTGTGATCATTTGACATTACTCTTTGGGGTAGGAGAGGCTTTTTTGCTTCAATATCCTCCTCTGAAGATGAACCCCAGTCTTCTCTATTGCCATTTGGGTTCTTTGTCCTTTGCTTGCTTTTTTTTTAATAGCAGCTTGTTACTGTAATCAATTCTAGTCCTGGGGTATGGGGGATAGTGTCTCTGGCCTCAGACCCTCCTTCAGTTCTCCCCTCTGGCCAGGAACTGACACCAAGAACTCTATCCTTTATAAGTGACCACAGACAGCAGTGTCCCTACCCCACTGCTTCTGCACTCAACTGGTGTGTACTGGTTCCTTCTCACTCAAGGCCGTGTCTCAGCAGCATAGCTAGGCCTGGTGTCCCTTATCAGCAGAGGTTCCCTCAGTCTTCCCCTACTCAGTTGCCCAACTCCCCACACTATCTGGGAGATGAAAATTCCTGTAGCTGGGGCCAAGGCTACCTACCAACTCAGCTAGCCCCTCGGCTCATTGCTTGCTGTGACATTGAAACTAGCATGTTGGTATTTATACTTCACAGAGACCAAATCTCAGATCTTCTCTTGCTTTCCCAGGAGGATTGCTGTTCTCCCAACTCTTGTTTATTTTTAATCATACTACATTTGCCCAGAGGTGCTACTTTGTCGTATGTGTAGAGGAGATCTGGAGATCTTGGAATTTTCTGACCTACTCTGCCATCTTCCCAGAATCCTGTCTCAACATGTTTGACAATTATATCAAATCTTCAGACTTAAAAAATCTTAAGAATAATTAATACTTTATATGACAAGATGCAAAAAATGAAATTTAACAAGTTAGAATGTTGAGAAGAACTTAATTAGATTGACTTTCTCAATGATAAATACAAAGACTAACACATGAGTGTAACTTGAATAAGATGGGACAGATGTAGTTAAACAGAGGTTAATCTGAAGAAAAAAAGATCTGGTGGGTTTTTGTAGACTTAAAGTTTATTGTGGGTCATTGTAATATGATAGCTCCATAGCAAATGTGATCTTTGCCTGCATTGTGTCCAAGAATAGGGAGGTGATATTCCTACTATACTCTAACCTGAACCCAAGTTACCAGGAGTACTGTGTTTAGTTCTTGACATCACATTTTTCAAAGGCTATCTGGAGAGCATTCAGAAAAAAGGAAAACAAGATGGTTGAATGACATCATGGGAGGATCAGTTGAAGAAATTAAGGATGCTTAATCGGAAATTCCAAACCTCTCAAGGGATACTTTGTGTGAGCGAGATTAAACTTGCTTTTCTTAGCTGCAGAGAGCAAGATTAGGAATAATGGGTAAAAGATAGAAATGCAGATCCAGAAATAATAGGTGAAAGATGCAAAAGTGGATCTAGACAACCTAAGGAAAAACTTACTTTTACTACTATTTAAAAGTGGATTAAACTACTTTTGAAAATAATGAGTATCCCCCACTAGAAATCTTTAAGCTATGTTTGGGATGATCACTTACTGATTACATTGTAGAGGGCATGGTTGATCTAGGTGATCTCTAAGGTGCCTAAGATTCTTTGATTCTATGAAGAAAAGTCCCTCTCCCAATCTCCCAATGTCCCATTCCTTCCTATGTTCAGGTAAAATCATCCTCACAAATCAATTCAGGCTTAGGCATTAATGGCTGACTTTCCTGAGTTAATGTGCTAACTATCCCTCCCCACCTCAAGGAAATTTTAACAGAAATCATATTTTAGAGTCACAATGCCTTAATTCAAATGAAGAAACTTCAGACACTGGATTTCCAGACTGTTCAAAGTGATGTTTTATAAGCAAGAACTGTCATGACCATCAACCTTTACATTAATCATAACATATACGGAATGACTTGTCCTTTGCATGTTGCTGCAGATCCTATGCGAAATCATTGTCTCACCACCTGAAGCAGGGAACTAGGATTCAGAAGATCCCACTCTTCTTCATCTCTGCCATTAACTTACTGTTTAACCTTAAGCAAGGCACTTAACCTAAATTGATTACCCGATCATAAAATCATTTTGGACTTGGTGATCTTTAAGGTTACTTCTTCCTTTAACACTCTTCCTCCTTATTTGTCACAGAACTGACACCTAAATCCAGTCAGGTAGCATATAAGCTTGAAACCTGTTAAGTTAGTCAAGCAAATCATAATGAATTTGACTATTTCATAATTGGTGGTAAATTTTGGCATGACATTTTATTCAATTTCTTATTCCTTAGTTTATACTAATGAAAAAAGGGAACATATACACAAAATGCTCAAACTTTTCTAAGAAAAAATGTTTTCATGTTTATTTCTCAATGAATAATTCTCATACTATTTTTTCACAAAATCTATACCTGAAGATGACATTTGATCATAAGGAATTGAAAGAAGCATATATTCTTCAGCTTGTTTTGCCAAAATCTAACCTTATGGTCCATGATTTAGTGCCCAGAACTTGACAATTTTTATCAACATTAGTTCATTGTTGCAAACCATAAAATTTCACTGGACCAGACTCCCACCTGCCCCCAACTCTGTATTTTCCATTACCAAATTTCTAATTTTTATGCTATTATATATTCAAAGATTTCTGTGTTTTTCAGGTTCATTGGAATTTCTGGGTTTCTCACTAATTTTCTGTTAAGCTGTCTTCTTCCTCTAAGTATTTAATCAATGTTTTCTCTTTTCAGTTCCACCTAAATTTGTGGTTCAGCCAAGTGACCAAGATGGAATTTATGGAAAGGCTGTCATCCTTAATTGTTCAGCAGAGGGTTATCCTGTGCCCACGATAGTCTGGAAATTCTCAAAAGGTATGAACATAATGAGTATTGGGTCTGCTTATAAACTACTATACATATGTAAAGCAATCAAGAATTATCTCAGCTTTGAGAAATTACCTTTCTACTAAATGAAAACTATAGAACCTTTGAAAAACTGGAAGTGGTGGGTCCAAATAATATCTATACTTTTGGGTTCAATCCCTTCATGTTGGTGCATTAAGTAAGCACATTACCAGCTTTTTCTCTGATGCAGCTCTGATCTTATCTTCTTTAACAGAAGGCACCATGTATTTGTTGTCAAAAGCTATTTCTTCTCTAATTTTTAATATCTTTTTGTTTATTTTAGTTTGGGGGTTTTTTTGGCCTCTTAATTTTTAAAAGGTGTATTCAGTTCATTAATCCTCTCTTTTTTACATTTTGTTAATTGTATTTGTAGGGATATGATTTTCTCCTGAAGGATACTTTAGCGGTATCCCAAAAATGTTGGTACATTGTTCTACCATTATTTTTTTCACATTATTATTGTTTCTATCATTGATTATTTGCCTTATTCATTAAGTTTTCATTTATGTCTATGTCTTATTTGTGGTCCCTGAACCACTGGTCATTTTTTATTGTATTATGATCTTGAATTATGTTTTTATTATTTCTGCTTTTTTGTGTTTGTTTGCAATACATGGTCGATTTCTGTAAAAGTTCTTTGTGGTATTGAGAAATTTGTATATTTTTTGGATCTTATTTAGAAGAATACATCCATCTTTACCTACATATTTTCTCTTTTACTTATCTTTCTGTTAGACTTATCCAAAACTGAGAGAGACACTAATGTCTCCTGTCACTATTGTGTTACTTTATGTATCTTCTTCTACAAATAAGGTTTCCTTTATGAATTTAGATGCTAAGACATTTGGGACATATGTGTTTATTTTGATGTTAGTTTTGATTCTACGATTCCTTTCAGCATGATGTAGTTTCCTTGTTTTTATTTTTATTTTCTTTCTTCCTTTTGTTATTTGAATGTCCATTTTTTTATCAGATAACATGATTACAACTCCTGCTTCTTTTGATTCACTTGGTGCACAGTAAATTTTCCCATCTCCTCAGTTTTATTTTGTGTGTCTTTTTTTCAATGTTTCCTGTAAGCAACAGATTATTGGGGTTTGTTTTCTTATTTAATCTCTCACTTTCTTCTTAATTAACTAAATGGTATAGAATATATACATACAGAGAGTTTGGTGTAGACATGCAGTCAACTCAGAGAGGGAGAAAAGAAGGGTGGTAGAGTCAGGGAAGGATTAATCATAAGAAAATCAAACTGACAAAACTCCCAGGTAAACAGCTAAGTTCCAAGGCCATAGGGACTAATGATTGAGGCTTCTAGCTGACTTTCACATGCTGTTACAATTTAACTTGGTATCATTGCTCTTGAAAGGGGAAGCAGGTCCTCCTAATTCTTACATTTAATTGGCTCTTCATTCTAATTCTGGCTTAGTCTAGGGAGAATTGTTACTTTCACAGTTGCTAATTGTTAATTTCACAGTTGCCAATGGTTATGGACTTGCAGTCTAAAATAATTCTTAATAATTGTCCCCAACAAAAGGAAATTTTTTTTTGTTTAAAAGAAGGAAGACACAAAATGTATAAACACATATCAGGTATGATCCTTTCACCTTTGGACTCAGAGAGGAGATATAATGGCAAATGGGGGGAAATGACATGGAAGGCAAAAATTAACAATAAACTACACAATCAAGAATATAGGAAAATTTCTACCATGGAACAACATCCTTTCTATCACCAGTAGTATTTCTAGGAGTGAGGCAAAAATAAATAAATAAATAAATAAACAAAAAAAAAATAGTTCTTGGATAGAGACCAAGATCTAAGGCAGAAACTTAGAAACTATATAGAAGAGGAAACCTGAATAGGTTCCTTAGAATCTTTAATTCTATGATGAATACAAAAACTAAATAAGGACTAAATATGAAGGAGGGCCATATACAGAAGGGGAAAAAAAGGTCTAAAATAAACAGAAGGGAAAGATAAACAATAAAGAGAATGGGGGAAAGAAATCCCTTTTAGAAAAAAGCACAGAAAATTATTTTTTTAAACCTAAGAAACAAAACAAGTTAAAAGGGTAAACTGGGGGGTGGAGTTTCACTTGTCTACTTAACTGAGAGAGGAAAAGAGGGCAGAATTAAATAACTAGATAGAAGGCAAAAAAAGTAACCTACCAAGTAAAACTCTAAAACTAGGGGAAAGCTTAACAAATGGGAGGGTTGGAAAGGCCTCTTGAGTGAGAACAAGCGATTCAGTTAGAACATATTTATCTTAAATTAAGCAAAAATAATGGAAGAGACAAAATACTGTCCTTTAAGGGAAGTGGGAAAAACCCTAATTAGATTGAATTATGCCATGTGATAAAGCAAAAAAAAAAAATACTGACAGATTGGATAAGAAAATAAAACCCTGCAATCTGTTACTGACCAGAAACACACCTATAAAAAGACACACACTGAATGTAAGAACAATTTAAAAAATTAATACCAATACTACAAAAATTATTATTAAAATTTTATTAAGAAAGTTATCTTCAAGACTCCTCTTGAGACAAATATCGTCCTGGTACCTAAATCAAGAAAGTATAAGACACAGAAGGACATAGAACAAGATAATGAATGAATAACACTTGAATTTTTAAAATACAAAATCTTGGGGCATCTAGGTGGCACAGTGAATAGAGCACCAGCCCTGAAATCAGGAGGACCTGAGTTCAAATCCGGCCTCAGACCAAACGCTTGACATGTACTAGCTGTGTGACCTTGGGCAAGTCGCTTAACCCCAATTGCCTCAGTAAAATATATATATATATACATACATATATATACATATATATGTACATATATATACATATATATGTATATATATATAAAATCTTATCATACTACAGCAATTCATCCAAGAAATCATTCATTATCTAAGTTCAGGATTGCTCAACATTAGGAAAACAATTAACACAATTAATTAAATTAAAACTAAAACTTCCAAAACTATAAGATTATCTCAACAGATGAAGAAAAAGCCCTACTTATGCTGAAGAAAGAAAGAAAAAGCATAGGAACAGAGGGAGTGTTTTAATAATATAAAATGCATTTATCTAAAACTAAAATTATGTATGATTTGCATTGGGATTACATTAGTACAAGGATATAAAACTCATGGCCCATAGAACTCATATATTTGACAAAACTCCTGAGAATGACCTGAACCAGATTATAATTTAACTTGGAAATGTTTAGCAAAATACATAAAAATCCAATACAACATAGCTCATGTTAATTTGTGATTTTTCAAGTCAACACGAGGTCTGCTAGAATCCATTTCTATTAGAGTTTGACACCTCTGCACTAGAATTTTTTTCTAATAAATACGGAAAGAAAGCAATGATGTCCACTTTCCCCATGATTATTTGATATCGTACTGGATAGCAATGAGAAAAAATAAAGGAATTAAAAGAGTAAAGATATGTGAAAGGGCGATAAAACTACAATCAGTTCTCAACTTTTGTGGGGTAATGTTCATAGAAAATGGCACAAAAGTCAAAAACACAAAGGTCAATGTACTTAACCTATGGGAAATAAGAGATTAGGTCCCCATGACCACCAGAAACTGGAATCTTTCATTTGAGAATGCTGAAAATCCATTTTTAACCATGCAGTTCTTCATAATAAAACATCATTTTTGATAACATGCACTGTTTCTAACATGGTAACATGAAATAACTCATAAAATGCAGTACAGAAAATAAAACTGTTAACATGGAAAACATTTTTTTCTTGTTAGTAATTCCCTAAAATTCTGACATTTTGTATTGACATCTCAATTAAAATAAAATTTTTAAGAAATTGATTTCAGGTAACATTCACTTCTCATAACACATGACATTTACAGTACCATAAAAGCTATACAGCAAATAAAATTCTTAAGAGTAAAATATTTTAACCTAAATCTTACCTTCCCCTCTCAGATGGCAGTGTGAGGATATTGTACTGTATAATATACTGCTATAAACCTCTCTACCTTGGCCATCCTCTGAAAACCAAGAAAGAGGTTGCTGGGACTTTAGTCATTGATGTCAGAAGATGCCAAGACTGGCCACGATTGGTGAAGTCTTGACATCTCCTCCAACACTCTATCCTTCACAGCTGGTGAATGGCATTGGAGAGTATGAAGGATACACCAGCTTGACATAATTCATCAGCAACATCTGTTTCATGTGCTGTTTAAGATCCTTAAGGGTCTCGGAGTATAAGAGCATAGCAGAGGTGAGCTGATGTTTAACCTTGAAGCTGTGATGGATAATGGGATTGGCAAACAATGAAATATGCAACAAATGCATAGGTTGCTCTTTACAATGGCAGGGTAAAAGACTAATGGAAAGGTCTAGTAGATAACCGGCCACTCCACAATCTTGTATGTACTGTAACTCTCATTTTCTTTCTCTACTGCACATGGCTGTAGATGTGCATAGTTGCTGACATGAAGATGAAAATGAGAAGTTGCAAAAATTAAACACAAAAATTTTGAGGATTGACTACCTCTTTTTGCTGATAATTTTTTTTAACTTGGCAAATCCCAGTGATTTGCAGAGATACTAATCAAGATAAAAGCTTTAACAAAGTTGAAGGCTACAAAATAAAATCTCAGTAAATCAATTGCATTTCTGTAACATAACAAAATCCAAGATGCAATAATATAAAGGGAAATCTCATTCAAATTAACTACAAAATGCATAAAAGATCTGAAAAATTAAATTATGAAACTATATAAAATAGTTGTATAGATTCAACAACAAGATGGACCTTAAAGAAATAAAAAAATAACTTAAATAGCTGAACTCAAGGAGGAATGTAGAATTTGGTGTAGCAGCACATTCTACTCAAGAATGATATGAATAGGAAAAGGAAAAGAGGAAAGAGGAGTATAAGGTGAAAGTATACTGGCTAGAGAAAGGACAGTGAGGAGGAGAT